TATGTATGTGTAAAAAGAGTGGGGTTGTAAACTATAAATGTAAATACTAAGTATTAGAACTGAAATAAGTGTTGACGACAGCCATCTCATGCAAGATCGTTTTTGCTTTTAAAACATAACACCAAAACACATCTTATAGTTTATACATGTGTCAGGTGGCGCAACACACATGTGTAGGTTGTCAATCCTGACTTTGAGATATTCAAGGAAGGTAGATTAACCTCAAAGGATATTCAATTGACAGGCATCCCAGATAGCATTCGGACGTTGGCCCAACGTTGGCAATGTTGGCAAAACCATTGCCAACGTTTGACCAACGTCTGAATGCTATCTGGGATATTGATTCTGCTTATCACACACTTGTGATGTTCTTACTTTCATTCATAGTTAACTTTGCATGTATGTATGAACTGGTAATGCGGCGTCAGCAATGCGCGTAGTATCTAGTACGCAGTGTGCGTACGAGATAAAGTCTGACAAAAAGCAATTGTAAAGCTTTATTTATCAAATAAAGCTTTTATCAGGCCCTAATCTCTATCCGTTAGTGTGCATATCACTTTTGAATCCCCAGCCAACTTCCTGGTCACTTTGACCGCGAGCCAACACTTCCTGGTCACGTGACACTATTGCGATCACTCAACAGTTAAATATTTTGAATCTCTACTTCTTGGGTGGGGGTAACATTGTGTCGTGAGGTATGATCAATAATTCCTCTCTGGCGAAACCTCTCGGCGGCCCATCTTTCAAATAGTACAAGTTCGGTTTGTCGTCTTTGATGTCCACTTTATCTATGTTGTAAGTTTTGATCGACGTGTCGGATCGGTGGCTCGTTTCCGATTGTCTCCTTCGTGTTCTCCCGGCTGGTAGAGGTACCTCACGAGAACCCGGTCGGGTATTTGTTTCTCTTTTCCTTTACGCGATGGTGCAGCCGATTCAGCGTTCACTGATTTCAATTTAATAGCGTCGGCTGGTTTTTTTATTGGTGAGACGAATGATTTCGTGATTGATAGCCGACACCACTTGTGGTAGCCGCGCGGCCCATTCGGTGTTGGGTTTATTTAGACTTATTTCCTTTGCGTACTGATGTCCGAATAAGCGCTCGGCCAAAGTCCTATTGAATCTCTCAACGATGGCTTGGCTGCGATGAGCTCCGGCCGCGCCACGCCTGACTTGGACGTCGTGCTTGGTTAGTAGTTGTGACACGGCACCCATGAACTCCCCGTCCGGGATTGACTTGCAGCTCGGTGGGCCATGTCAGCAGACTGCGCTTGTATATGCGCTCGAACGCATGAGCTACTTGTTAACTAACAACGGAAGAAACGTCTTGAGACTCAGTCGGCCGTTGGCTAAAACGCTAGGGTTTACGTCGAACGACATACCACCGGAAACCACCGTAGCCGGCACGAAATTACCCGATCTCGTTCCGTATCGTGAACTGTGCATTCATCTCGATCAGCTGAGCACTACGGACAACATTCAAGGTGAATGCCCCTCTACGCAGCTGCTGAGAGCCGTACCGGTGAAAACGTAAAAGTACAACGACGGCCGAACCGAATCGTATTCTTCACGCCAGTACAAGAAATTAACGCGAGGTACCATCTTGGAATAACAAATACGTATTTTAGATATAAAAAAAACATCCTATTAATATAGGGTACCTCAGCATAACGCTGCACATACGATAATGACTAGCGCCCACGGCCCAGGAATGCGAGTAAGAAAATGTGCCAATCTAACGATCTCCGACCTCGGGGACACTCGTGGATTCAACGCCCCAGTAATAGACTAAAAATAGCAACAAATGGGGTTTGGTACAACCTCGAACCGACTGGATTCTCAACATCACGCTCGGCTCTCCCTACGTATTCACAGAAAACAAAGACCACTACCTAAACAAAGTCGTGAACAACGGAACCCTGCTCGTGGCTTACGTACGTCCCGACAGAGAGGCGCAGTGTGATCATCAGCGCAGTCTCGAGTACGACATCCCACATGCTATCGAGTAAACCCGGGGAGCAAAGCGTGGGGTTGCAAATAGTGTCTGAATTCGAGGGCGTTGTCAACATCCTGGAAAGTCTACCGGATAATTCCACGCTGGTCATCCAAGTCTACCTCGGTGAACCATCATCACCAGTCGAAATCGTGAAAGGAATCAAACTCCGGTGGGCCAAACAACATCAATACAACGTTCGCTCTGTTTACGTGCGGGTGAACATAGATTCCCACACCAGTCTGCAGTGGGGTCACCGTGACCGTGGAAGACACGATATCACTCACCAAAATCTTCCTACCCGACAACATACACCTCATGGGGTTGAAGTGCACCCCTGAGAAGTTAACAGAAAGACAATTGGAAACTTTTTTATAACATTTTATATAAGCGATGAACAACCATCTTCCCAACGTCACACTTGGCAATCTAGGACACACGGAGGGATTCGATCGGCCCGGCAAGGAAAACGCCTTGTACGTCCTACATTTGAAAGACAACGTGTACGAGCGGGTGTCGCTGGCAGACTTTAAAGAGCCTGAGTGGTTGCTCAACGTGACCCTCACCGCACCTTACATCTCTTTAAACAAAACTGGTTTCGTCTCCGAAATTAAGAACAACGGTATCATTCTCACGTCTCTCATTCCGATTGATAATATATACGAATACGAATACCGAGTCACTCGGGCAACATGTTAGCTCCAAATGATGAGTTGGCATATTTAACGCCCGAATTACCCGATTACCAGCAGGGGTTTTTGGTTATGGGGCCAGACACCACACTCATCATAGAATTCTATCTCGGGAACACTCATAACAGTGCAAACCCTATATACGGGTTGGTAATAGCCTGGGAAACCAGGCACAATTACCAACGTTGCAGTATCGTCATGTAACCAGGATCGGCCCCCTTAGCAAGCCTCGAGGGGGTCCGTATTTTGGTCCAAGATATGCTTCTTAATGTCACAGGGATTGCCGTGGATGAAAATCTAAACCTTATAAGCCTCAAATACATTGATAAGAAATTAACTAAAAACCAATTAATTTTATCTGATAATATATTATACACAAACACAGGATGGGACTGTGCCCAGTCGTTGAAGAAGTAGCGAAAACACTGGAAACCGTAGACGGATTACGGTTGAGGCAGTTATGTGACGTAAAATACCAACTAGAACAAGATCGCGACAAACGGAAAGCATTATGTAAGAAATACCGTAGGGCTTTCAATTTCGTGGATGGGGCCGATACCGTAGGTGTCGGGTTGTTAACCACCATCGTAGCCGCACCTATAGTACTAGGTATTGAAATAACAGCTGGAGTGTCAGGGTTGGTGGGGTTGGTGTTTAAGTTTGCATCTCGCAAGTTACATCGTAAAGCGTTGAAACACAATGAAAAAGAATTCTAGCCGAAGCAAAGTTAAACACGATAAGCAACCATATTTCCACCACACTCAGTGACAGTAAACTCTCAGAGGAAGAGTTTCGTTTAGTACTCTCTGAACTCGCAAAATATCACAGAATGAAACAAGAGATTCGAACCAAGTCTCGTAGAAACACTGTCATCAGCGAAGACGAGAAAAAAAGTACATAGAACACGGGATACAACAAGCCCGACAAGCCTTCATTACGGAAACCAAAGAAATCATAGGAGATTCACATTAAATTGTTTCGCTGAGATCAACATAGCCGAGTGACCAGGAAAGTGTTGGCTCGCGGTCATAGTGACCAGGAAGTTGTCTGGGGATTCAAAAGTGGTATGCACACTAGCGGAAAGAGATTAGGGCTTGATAGAAGCTTTATTTGATAAAGCTTTTTTTATAACTTATCTCGTACCCCTATTCTATATACTGCTTACTGTTTACAGTGCTGGCAGTGGTAAGCAGGCAGTGGTCAGTACGTTAAAATTCACATTTTATGACTGCGAAACCCCAAAAATGCTGACGATCCTATAGACTGAACGACTGTGCAAATATTGCTTTGAAAATGGAAGATCTGTTAGTGAAGATGCCTTTCTAAGCTCTAAGAAGTATAATCTTAAACAGTATTTCAAGTGTAAACGTCTTCGATCGAGCATATTTCACTTGAAAACGTTGATGTTCTGTATAGCTCATGTCTATATTTATATATAGTCCAAGTGCGAAGAGAAACCTAACCGATTACTTTACTGACATGCAACTCATGCATTACTGCCTTTATAAAAAAAACAAAAGAAATTATCCAAATATAATATGATGTCTTCATTTCAGGCGTAAACCAGATGATAAAAGAGTGTAAATACAGCACTTGATGCGTGTAATTGATACAGACAAAATAAAATAACACAAAACAAGTGGCTGAGTCTTTAATATAGACTGACAACGGCAAATCTGCAATTTCTGAACACTACAGTAGAAGTAGACACACCGCTTGTCTGTTCTCGAAACCATATCTCTCATTCTAACCATGGCGGTTTATCTTAGAAACCTTACTTCTTTTGTTTCTTACTATTTTTATTTCATAAGCTAACAAAGTTACGGGTGTTTGATGCAACACTACTATTGTTTCTCTATATCCCCTTCTTAAATAGACTGCCAGCTTTCCCCTTTGGCCAATGTCCGCATCCTTCAATTGCATTGTGTATATGATCGAGTGGTACTTATGATACACTTGAAGGAAGATAACTCTCTCTATTAACAAAGCTTCAATTGCAGTTGGAAGATTGTCTGCATCACTTGAAATACCGAAATACACTTACGATTAAAGAAAAACAACTTCACTGTCGTAAGCAGATCACGCCCCATCACCACCCACCCCGCAACTGTCCAAATCCATACGAAAAACTCGTTGAATCAGGAAGCAAACAAACAAAATCTATTGTGACGTTGTGTGTTTGGGCAAGATAGACCCGCGCAACTCACAGCATGCTCTATATGTATAGTCACAACACACTCATTTCACTTCCTTGTTCATACCTGAGACCTGGTCGTCCTCGAGGGACGTTTACTCGTGCATTTAACTATCTACACATAGCGACCTGTTGACGCTAGTCGGTTCGACATTTCATCGTGCTGGTTATAACAGTAACTTCTTTGGGTTTGTTCAGACTATTTAACACATTCACTTACATAGAGTCTACTGTTTGCCTATGTGATGTAGATACGACAGCGGGTTTATGTTTTGGAGTACCTAATGGATTCACAGGTACAAAAATAGACGAAGACGACCTGACAGCGTGATTATATACAAGCAGTCTAGTCATGAATTGACGAATGTTGTTTACATTTCCTGTGTATTCAATGGCGGATGTGCGTGAATTTCAACGAGGCAAGTTGCTACATATTGAATAGGAATCCAACAGTTTAACGGCATGCCTGAACAGAGACGACATGTTCTGTATCCATGGACGTACAGAAAGCACGCATTGAACTTCTGATGACTGAGATCTAACAGCCATGCATGTTGAAAGGGTGTTTGTGATCTGTCTACATTTCTTCTTGGCTGTATATGGTGAGTAATGGTACAGACAAACGTGTCTTTGAAATCTGTATTTCAGTATGTGTAATGTGATTATTTCATCATAATTCCGGTTGCCGTATGATTTTATATCGCATTATGTACGTGTGATTTGTTGTGACTGACGTGCAAATGTCAAAAGCCTTTCATGCCGCTGGATTTTAAAGCTCACAAGCCATTTTAAACATTAACTGTGGTGTACATACCTTTGAGACACCTCTTACAACGATCCAAATCAGACTTAGACTCAGACTGTGTACAAATACACACTGATAGTTGATCACATTTAAGACAACATTACACATTTCTGCAGCGTTAAAGCAATGTGAAATATTCACCATACCTACCAGCTTATAGATGCACTAGTTTTGTGAACTGAATGATACTGTACATGCACCGTTTCATACAATATATCAAAACATTATAATGTTAATCAATATATATAATTTCTTATTTGAGTCACACAGAATGTCATGCTTTAGAGATGAAACTACATCTTTGCTTCAAAACTCCTCGTATATTTCAAAACAAATAGGGTTTTACCGTCAATTGGAACAATATATTCAAGTATATTTTGTCAAGTATGTTTGACTGAACGAGTTTCAATATATTCAAAGGTGTCAGGACTTTAAACAGATGTATAGAGGATTTGACGAAAGTCTTTACAGTACAGCTTCAGTGTCCTGCCGGTGAATGGATACATGTCGTGCACGAGGTGTATGGGGATGGAGATGCAGCGACATGTCTTCTGAAATCTGCTCAGTCGTGTAGTAAGCTCCTCAGCAGCAGCCAGTCTGGCCTGGTTGTCAGTTGTAATGGGAAACATTCATGTTATGAAGCCATGCAGGTACAGACCATCAACAACTGCAATATTACCGATGCTGCAGCTGAAGTAAAGTACAGCTGCATCAAAGGTTAGTCTTCAATATAGTATACCTGTATCAAAGGTGATCATTGAACAAACCTGTAGTAGATCTACGTATAAACTCTGATTTCTTTAATATCAGCCACTGAGTCCATTATAGACATATTATTGTAAATATTTACCATGAACGTCATAAACGAATGTGTAGATGCTGGATGCACAGCCGGATAGCAACTGCAGTATTACCGATGTTGCTCAGTGCTGAAGTAAAGAACTACTGTATCAAAGGAAACTTTGGTCGTTGGCGGGACATGACCTGACTGTTAGTAAGACACAACTTAGGAATGACGATATTTCTCCTCCCCATCAAGTGCAATCTTTTAGCGAAAACGTGTGTCGCCAGTGGGCTTACGAACGATATCTTCGTCCACATGAACACATCTTCATGAAAGTAACCAGAACTATTTATTTTCTAATAACTTCCCAATTTATGAAATATTTGGTTGATTTGGTACGTGTCATGTTATTGTCTGGATTCTGCGCATGTGTGACACGAACATATAGAAACAAACCCTGTCGTTGAAGGCGATGCTAGTACTTGTCTCGGTGAAGCATATATATGCTCGAGCTGGTCCCAGGTGGATTATTTCATTGTCTTGGAATATGCACATGCATTTCATAAGTCGAGATGCCAAAGAACAAGAAGCACGTGTGAAAGACTCAAGGAACATACTTAACGTGGATCTTGTATAACTTACGTCGAGGTCGAAAACCATTTCAGCGATTAGACACCAGGTCCTCGTGATTTAACCCATACATCATACATCAAACTGACAACATCAACAAGGAATGATCTTAATAATGTCAGTCCATGATTCATTTTACCTACATGTATGAGTCAATATTTAAACCCAGTAGTCATTTGTGCATTGTGTTACTGTTTCCGTAAATTATGATCACTAGCTCTTTGCCATATTGCGGACCATGGTATACTGCGTTTTCTATCAAGGTTTTCATTGTCACGTTAGGTGTTTGTCATTCTCACACATTGGATCTCGACATTTGATCTCATGCCATCTAACCTCATTCTCAGCACCCGTGTTATTGTAAACTCAGCTCACAATATACTGATAATTACAGAACGCTATCAGGCTTGAATATTATTGACCTGTTATGAATATCGACTTTTGTATGGTGTCACAGCCGTGTTAGTCAACTAGATTTGCCACCTCCTACTTCTTGTGGATGGAGATTCGGTGAAGGAAAATGCAACAAAAAATACATAAAATTATAGTAACCATGGAGACGGCTTATAAGGCATGCTTTCTATAATTTACATTTTCAGAAAGTTCATTCTATGGGGTTTCTTACGATACGACATGCATGGTCCTGTACGTATAATGCACGCATCAGTTGAGAAAAATGCACGATTACAATTATATTGACTTCTGAGCAAAAACAGTTACAATTCGACTGTTGTGACTTTGACGTGTTACATATATTGAAGAAGCAATGCTTGTGGTATCAGAAACATTCAGAACATTGACTAAATATAGGTAAATTGTGATGACTTTGCCATTTATATATAGCAGAAGCGGTCTTTCTAAAATCGTGTGGTTACCATGGAAACAACTCAAAATGACATGTTGCCTGGCACTTTCAACTAGAGATTCCGAGCTTTCCAAAGATTCATCTACCTATACCTCCGGTAGACGTCTTTCAATTTTTGACACCGAATACCATTGCTCTATAAGCAACCCATGCTTGTCGTAATACTGAATACACAATACCACGTGTCAAAAGTAAGGCATGCTACATTTGGGATTACACTTTCTCAGTGAAGTACACTCAGATTCTAGTACATGTGTACCATTTGACCACTTTTTTAATGGCATTGTGTATTCAAAGCTGTCGGTTGATGGAGCCGTGCCAATTTACACTTGTCAGAGAGGTACACAAAGTCCGTGCTCTAGACTACAAGTTTTGGAAGCCGCGGTGGCTGAGTGGGCTGACTTTGTGTGCTGCCGATTAAGTGCTGGACTCAGAGAGTGTGGGTTCGAATCTGGGATGGGACACAACCTAACAAAAGTACTAGAATCTGTACTTTACTGAGAAAGTGTAATCCAAATTATAACATGTGTTACGTTGTCATAAGAGGCGACGAACAGGATCGGGTGGTTTTACTTCAGAATTTCTTAAGTTCTTTTGGAAAGATTTAGGCGAATTTGTTCTTAATTCATTAAACTATGGGTATAAAAATGGAAAGTTATCGATCTCGCAAAACAGGGATTGTTAACATGCATGCCTAAAACTAATACACCTAAGAAATCTTTGAACAATTGGCGCCATATCTCCCTACATAATACCTAATACAAAGTTGGCGCCGCAGCAATTGAAAACAGAATTAAAAAGGTATTACCTAGTATTATTAATGAAGACCAAAAGGGTTTTGTCACGGGAAGATATATTGGCGAGGTAACTAGACTTATATATGACCTACTGGAATACACCGAAACTTGCCAGATACCAGGCCTACTTCTTCTCGCTGACTTTGAAAAGATAGACACTACCTCAGCAAGGTATTAAAGTTTTTTTAATTTTGGACCCAGTATCTCACATTGGATAGAAACATTCTATAACGATATTGAATCGAGAGTCTTGGTAAATGGATTTGTGTCAACTCCTTTCAAAATAGGTGGTGGATGCCGCCAGGGGGACCCATTAGCGCCGTACATCATTCTGCTGTGTGTAGAAATGCTGGGTATCACGATACGAAAAAACAAAAATATAAAGGGGATTAAACCTGGAAATATAACATATCGCCTATCACAGTTCGCAGATGATACAACTCTTACATTAGATGGATCGGAGAAAAGCCTATATGCAGTGTTGAATACTTTAGAACTATTTGCCTGTTTTTCAGGATTAAAAGGCTACGTAGTTAAAACTAAACTAATATGGATAGGCTCCAAAAGGAGATTCCGATATAAGATGTGTAAAGAATAGAATATCGACTGGTCACAAACAGACTTCACGCTTTTTTGGGAATACATTTCGATATTGATCTTGATAATATGGTTGAAATAAACTACAACGAAAAACTATCTCAGATTGAAAGGCAAATGAACATTTAGTTAGCTCGTACCTTAGCCGCGTATGGAAGAAATACTGTTCTTAAATCACTTATATTACCTAAGCTTAACCATCTATTCTCATCTCTACCAAATCCTGAAAAATGTGTCAGTGAAAGACTGCAAAATAAGTGTTTTAATTTCATCTGGAAAACAAACCTGATTAGATTAAGAGAGATTTAATGATGACCCAGAGCAAGGGGGTATAAAAACTCCAAATATTAGAAAAAATATATACTCACTAGCATTGAAAACGCACCAATTACACAAGTTGTGATTACTAAAGCACACGTAAGCAATTGATAGTTTTTTTAGTAGATGATAACAGATGGACTACTGACAAAAACAACAACACAGAGAAAACGCTCATTCATTTAATTGTTTCACAGTCAGAAAGGATCAAACACATGTGGGGTCAAATCGAAAAGTCAATATTGCGTGTGACCGCTGTTTGCATTAACACATGCAGTGCAACGTCTCCTCATTGAGTCAACAAGCGTAAGAATAGTGTTCTGGGGGATGGCATTCAACTCCTTCAGAAGTGCAGCCTCAAGTTCCCGGATGCTCCGCATGTGTTGTCGCCGAGAAAGACGTTGACAAATTTCGTCTCACAAGTGCACAATAGAGGATGAATATGGGGACAGTGCTGGCCAGTGAATTACCAGGATATGTTGCTGGGTTAGATACTGCATAGAAAGACTAGCTGTGTATGCCCGTGCGTTGTCCTACTGAAAAGTATGGACATCTTGGTGGTGATTGAAGAATGGCACGACGTAATTCTGAAAAATCTGGTCACGGTAGTAATGGGCATTGACTCTCTCCTTTACAGACATGAAGGCAGTTATGTGATTGTAACTTATTCCATCCCAGACCATGACACTCCCACCACCCCAACGGTCTGTCTGAACCACACACTCATCAGCATAACGTTCACCACGTCTACGCCAAACACATAATCGGCCGTCAGCATTACGTTGGTGCAAACGTGACTCGTCAAT